TACGGACAGTTTGCCAGGAAGTAGCCAGCCACACCGTGCCGGTCCGCTTTCCCTTACGGACAACTCACAGCACAGGGACAGCACCAGGAGAGTCTTTTTTGGGGCTCTTTAATTGTTAACTTTATGCTTGATGCTTAAGAAACGGACTCTGTCGCTGATACTCTATCACTTTGTATAATCTACATGGTCTGACTTTGCATTTCCATTTTATAGTCAACCTTCAGTATCCCACAATCATTTTGGTAAAATGGAAAGTAGTTCAAAATAAAACATACATCATGAAGAATGTATTGTGATATTTGTATCTTTTGCCATCTTATAATGAAAAAATTTAATTATATATTTAATAATATGCTTTCAGGTGTGATAAAGCCTGGAAGTCATTATTATTATCATTAAATTTATAATTTTTATCATTAATAATAATAATAATAATTATTATTATTATCGTTATTGTTATTATTAATGACAATAATAATAATAATTGCTTTATCACACCTGACAGTATGCATCTTTTGTCACAAAATAATGACGACTGTTAATTACGCTCCATGGATACTCAGGACTTTTCTGTTATATTGGAATTTTAAGAGCTATTTCCCTAGAGCTGTACTAATCTCACTTACATCGGGATTTCTTGTGGGAGCTGCCTCAGGCGCTGCCCCCTCATATAAATCTATGCTTTATTAAATGTTTGTCTGGGTCTTTTCGTTGTCTCCCCAGTGTTATTGATGTTATCAATGCTTGTTTGGTAGATGCTCGGAAAGCACATAAATCGCTTCCATAGCAAACGGCTTTGTCCTCCCATTACACTTTTACACTCTAAGGTAGAGGTGACTGTGACTGTGTTTTACTGTCTTACCAGTATGTGTCTTCAGTATTTTCTGTATGTTTGTGTTGTGTCTATCTATCATGTTCTTGTTTCCACACATTGCTTATTTTTTGTCTACTAATTATGTCTATGACAGGTTTGTACAAAGGAATGCAAATTTACTTTTGTGTGTTTCTTTTTTTCCAGAAATATCAAGCTTTTCACTGACGCCTGGGAAATTAAAGATAAGAAGAGCTTGATGGACTGGATGCAGTTGCATTCCTGAATTCCACCTAATAGATCACAACTCACAAGAGGTCAAACCTATACACAGAAGAATGCAATTTAGGTTGACGGGTTGCTGAATAGACAAAAAATATGATATTTAGAAAATCTTGTTGTTTTTAGGGCTAAGCTTCCCCATGTTGTGGCCATGTATTGAAATTTTCTGCAATAATGTATAGAATATTAACTGTAAAAACTGACATGGATATTACGGCAACAGACAGAAAATAATTAATTGTAGATTTAAAAATATAATTGTAGTCATTTTCTAGACGGTGACTTTGTGGCTCAAAAAGGACCTTTTAATTTTGTTTTTGGAGGTCCTAATCTGTTACGATTACTCAGACAAATCAGGGTCATATTTACGAATCACCAGATTCCTTCCAAGTTCCTCAGGAAACATGAAGCACTGATGACAGATTGAAAACGTTCAAGAGTGTGTTGAATTTTGCAGGAAAATGCCATGTCGATGATGTAGAACAGTGAAAATAGGTAAACAGTGTTGAGGATGTCATTTTATTAATAAATTGTTTGAATAATACATGCATTAGTTGGGCTTTTGTTTATATCTTGCGGTCTTGTATTGAAAACATGCTTATCATGCTGGTCACAGGAGGGTGGGGGCCACCTTTCTGTCAGCCAAGCGCTTCTGCTGAGATTGAGTTTCGGTTCACGGCTGTTTGTGAAGTATTTGTACTGCCTGCATGTGATCCTATTTGCTAGCTTGTAGCTCACAGGTGGCTATGCCCCAAGGTACTGACTGGAGAAGTGAGGGTTAGGGGTTTCCCCAGATGGCACTGCCTTAGGAAGTGTGCACTCAGAAGGCCGTGCGGCTTCTCGCTCGCTCTCCGCCAGCCTGACCCTCCCCAGGTTTTACTTTGTCAGGATGACGGGCTGTGCTCGCCCACCCAGCACCCACGCATCTCCACTGCGCTATAGGCCCACAGTGTCCACACAAGTCGCTCCAGCTGTCAGCATCTCCCTGTGGGGAGTTTCAAGGTCTTCTTTTTTATTCACACGAGAAACGGAGGAAGAAAATGGCAAAGGAATCTGTGCTGCAGAATCAGGGGCTCCCCCAGGATGGAGCAGTTACACCGCCATGGATTGGGAAGCAGCTGAAGCTCATGACAGTTTAAGATGGAAATTAAGTGACAAGATTGTGGCTGTCATATAGCCAAACACATTTTTATACATTCAGTGAAATGCAGGACTGCAACTGTTTGCACAAAATTCCAATTTTAGCTTTTTTTATTTAATGCAAAAAGTTCTTACTTCAGGGCTGAAATATAAGTTAACATTGTGGTGATTTGAAGTACATAATTTGAGAGTCCAGTGTTAGTTACTTTTGGTATTTCTGAGACAATTTACTTGCTGGAGAAGAGCTCTACTTAATGGCAGAGGGTATAACTTTAGCAGTGTAATGATTATGATGCTCACAATATATTTTTTGGTAATGTTTCTGCACATGAATTAATATTTGACATATATTTTTTATCTGATTTTCAGAAACACTTCAGTGGTATATAAGTATTTTTCTAGGTTAAACGATGCAAATATAATGTGTGGAAAATTGTGCATCCTGTGATAAACTACCACCCCCTGTTTGGTACATCCAAATAGCACTCCTCTGATCTAAATTGTAATTGATTTGTAATAATTTAATGTATATTAGTACAAATACACACAAAGTACTTCTTCTAGTGTTACTGTTACATGTGCAGGCAGACTGAAGGGGTGGACAATGCTTATACTCTAAGCAGCTTCTACAGTGACTCCCTGAGAAATTTATCATTGAGAAACCAAGACATTCATCAAGATCGAGAACAAAACTGTGATTTGACGAAGTATTGGGTTTACATGGTGAAATTAGATCACCCCGAGAAACTGCAAAATCAATACATTATAATTTGTTTCTCACTGTTACTGCACTATACTCTCATCAAAAACTGACATCATAGACATGGAAAATTATCGATGCTTAACTTCTGCCTGTGGTTTATTATTTATAATTGCCAATTTACACCTAAATCGTTTGACAATTCACTATTCGTTATTTGAAACACGAGTTCCGTTGACTCACTACACTGACTATTTGGAGAAAGTTTGTTCCTTAAAAACTTAAAAATGCAATCCAGGCTGACGTTTATTATCATTCTTGGAAGTGAAAAGACTGACGTTTCAGCTATTCAATCGATATAAAACATTTAATTCGTGAAAATATTATTCCTAAAAAAAAAATCCCTTGCACGAAAGTGGTCAGAAGCAATAGATGAATGAAATGACGTTAAAGAGGAAAAAAGCTAAGCTAATTGGCATCCCCTTGCGCATAGTAATGTGCGTCTCGGTGAGCTACACCTACCGGGAAATTGACGGACAGCTTTCTGTAAAAAAAGAATGAAAAATGGAAAAAAAAAAATTGGTTTATTTAAATAGACTGATCGTGTCGTTTCGCTCCGCCCTTGTTTCTAGCAATGCAAATCCGCTCCGATGAACTGCGCTGTCCGTCCCCTTAAGCCGAGGTCCGACGAGACCATCCAGCCAGAAGCGCACACGGACCTGCCTTTAAGCCGGCATCAAAGCCGATTACAGATCATCTCAGATGTGATTTTCTTTTACCGTCTGTTCACTGGGTCATTTTTGTACTCAGTTACATGCAGGATAAGCTTTTTTTCCCCCTCATGTTATCTGCTTGATTGTGTTTTGCTGTTATTTCTATTAAAAAGTTATCATTTGGTAAAATTGACGAGCTTTTGGTTCAGCCGTTTTTCAGGTTCATTGGAGTATTAGTTGCACCGCATAAAATAATCCCACAGCAAATAACTTTTATAATGAGGTTCGGCGGGAAATTTTTTATACCCTTCTTGTTATAGCTTTATCTATTTTACTACAATGTGAGAAGAACGCTGAAGTGTTATGTAAGGTTAATACATTTTTTTACGCAGACGGAAAATGCAGAAAAGTGTGAGATACAATGAGGGACATGCTCTGTATCTCTCTGTGGTTGCGCGTAAAGAAGGAACCAAGCGCGGATATCTCAGCAAGAAGACCACGGAGAACAGCCGATGGCACGAAAAGTACTTTGCTTTATATCAAAATGTCCTGTTTTATTTTGAAAACGACCAGAGCTCTCGACCATCTGGGATTTATTTATTAGAAGGATGCACATGTGAGAGGGTCCCAGCCCCAAAAATGTCCACTGTGGGTAAGGAGACGATGGACAAGCTGGTGAGTTATTTTATCGTCTTTGAAGTTTTTTTTCTTGTAACCCCATATGTCAAACAACCAAGATTAGCGTGCAGATTAACCGTTTATTGACTGACTTATTGTATTATACTCTAATACAGAAAACGTACTGAAGGGTGTGTGTTCAACCTGATCATCCAAGGACATGTAAAGCTCCTTTATGCGTTATTTATTGGAATTAAAGCTGGTCACGGGCACTTTGCTTAAAATTAATAGTACATATATTTGGACAATGACATAACATTTGTCCTTTTGTGTGGGTTTATTAATTTTACTCCTATTTCTCATTTATGCGTAAAGATGTCATTTTACGTTTAGCATGTATTCAACCGCAGATTTTTTTGCCTAAAATGTGTTTTTTGCGGTATGACACTTGAGTAAAGTTTTTTTTTCTTCTTGAACAAATACGGTAAGCCCAGTTCAACAGGTTTCTCGAACCGTCTATTTAACGTAGGACGTGCAATGCTGGAAGGGCGGCGTGGAGGAAAGTTATACATTCAGTGATATATACTGTACCACTTAGCTTCCTTGCAAGTTAATCATGTTAATATGGAAAAGAGACGAAATATACTCCATAAACATTTTATAGGTACATCTGCCCATTAACGCGAATCATGTGGCTGTAACTAAATATAACGAACGAAGTATTAGAATAAAACTCTTGATATTTAAGTATTTAAAACATAATGTGAGTGTTGGATGTCAACAAGGTAGTTCCAGAATCTCTTATAGACAGTCTCCTTCCGGGGATTCACGTGTATTACACGGGCTTTGGTTTGCGGAGAATGGCTTGGTGGGTAGTGAAAACACCTTGTTAATGAGAGAGATCAGAGGAGAATGGGCAAACTCCTCAAAGCTAACACAAAGGCAGCTGGTGCAGAAAAAAACAGCTCAGTACAACAGTGATGTGCAGAAAGGTGTCTCTGAAAGCGCAGTTCATTAGCTTTTGAAGTGATTCTAGTGACAATAGGGGGTTCTGCTTGGTACTACGTAGGGACACCTAATAAATGGGCCATTTCAGTGCAGTGTACCAGATATTAAAATTACTACTCATGATGTGGAACCAATTATTGCATATATGGTATTGAGTTTTAGTTTTATAGGGGAAATTTGCAAATAAATTATTATGACTACTCTTTTCCCCCTCCTGTTAACTGATATTTGTTACGTGTGAACGTACCGAAGGACTGCTACTCAGTTTAATCGAACTCTGTACAATGACAATATAGAAATCTTATATTATCTTATTATTTTTTACTACTAGTAGTATTACTACAGTGTGTTCATTCATTTCTGTTACATCATATCCTTTCTATGATATGGTATTTTTTATCATATGATACACAGTACAGTCAACAGATAAAATCTGTAATCCGTTTGTTCTTGTTATGTGACGTAAATTGTACTATTTTACAGTGGAAAAGGGGACTGGTTTGCTTGATGTCAGTCAGCTTACAATAATGTAGGCTAATTAGCTGCTGAAGCTCTGTTTTTATGGCAAAATCCTACCACCAGCAGAAGTTGAAAGTGTTTGGACATTTTTATCTGCCTGAGCCTCCTGTCAAATAATTTAAAGCATGGAAAATTATAATTAATGGCTGTGCTTTGAGGGGTAGCATGATGGCCCTGTGGTTTGTGCTGTTGTCTTTCATTACTTGGTTATGGCGTTTGAATCCCACCTGTTTCCTCTGTGTACAGTTTGCATGTTCTCTCCATGTCATATGGGTTTCCTCTGGGTCCTTTTAGTGGCCTAAAGATATGCAGTTGACCACAGAATTAATTAGAATTTCTTGATTGCCTATAACAGGGCTTTTCAAATCTGGTCTTTGTCAGGTCCAAATCCCAGCCTTGTTTTCAGTTCTCCCATGTACTTGGTTTAATAATTACTGATTCTGATTGGCCACAGAGGCTTCACAGCTGGATCTCAGGTAAAGGAAAGCTGGAAATTCAGCAGTGCTCGGACCTTGAGGACCGTGATTTGTGTAGCCCTGGACTACAATATATGACTGTGTATATGGCAAAAGGACAGAAAAACCTGTTGAGTTTCTCTTGTGTTCATGCATATTCTACAGTGATTTGCTTTTAATTTAGCTGTTGAATGAAGGTTTTTTTTGGTACTTTATTGATCCCTTGTGGGGAAATTCTCTTGCTCTCTGTGACACACATGTAGGTGAGAGTAAGTCTGACTGTGAGGGGCAGCCACCTGCATGAGATGAGGCTGGGGGTTAAGGGCCTCGCTCAAGGGCCCACAGACATGTGACTATTCTACCACGGCTGGGTTCAAACTGGCGACCTTCCGATCACAGGCACAGAGCTTTAGTTCACTGTGCCCCCAACCAAGTGATTTGATTTTCTTTAAGACTGCATTAATAACTTATTTAAATGATCAACAATAATCGTATATGCTAATCATAACTTACAAGTACAAAATAGTAGCCATAGCTGGGAGTAGATGTTGTCAAAGTGGTGCAGTGATAAACCGTAGTTCAGGTGGCTGTTTTCTGGAGTAAGGTAGACTGAAGTCCAGTATGGAGGTTGCAGTCAGTCACTGAGTGTGTCCCTCCCTGGGACACGGGGCAGATGGATTCTGGCTGCCTGTATAGGATGATGTGGTGCTTTTTTTGGAAGAAACAGTTCAAGACAAATCTGAGGACACTGGTTACTTGTTAAGGAGATGGGCCAAAAGGCTGTCAGATCGAACCCCAGGAGAATCTCTGCTGTACTCTTGGGCATAGTCTAGAATATATTCAATTGAATAAAATGGTCAACTCTGGATAAAAAAAAATACTACTTACAAATAAAAACTAAATAATCAGCATGATTGGCAGTCATATTAGGTACATTATTTGTATGGTATTGCAGCGTACATGATATTCTAATTAACATTTTTAATGAAGTTTGCCATTTGATATTTGATAAAAGGTAGGTATTTCTATATTAATAACATTGGTAATGTTTTATTTAATAAAGATATTTATTAGTCGGCTAATCCCCAGAATATGTAAATTTGTGGACTGTTTTACTCACAGCACCTGGCAGCAAAGGTAAGGCAAAAAGCAATTAATGTGCCTTATATGTATAATAAAGCATATCTTTATGGTTTGACAATTGCGTTTGGGACTGAAAGTCAAGATGGGACACAGTAATAGGTAGTAGCTAGTACCTAGTTCTGATGAGGGGTGAGCTGACAGCACAGCTGATAAAGTTCCATTGCTATAAATTTCCACATGGGGGGAGATTGTATAAATAAACATGCCATGTAGCTACTGTGAAAAGTTCCATCACCTAATGATCATTATTATCATTTCTCTCTAAGCAAGATGCATCTTCATGGTGGGTTTTCAGGAGGGAGATTACATTGACACTGGTTGCCATTTTAAAGGGTTGGTTTAATAAACAACAAAGTAAACAACATAACCCATTATATGAACGCAACTGTTTTGCTGCCTTTTTGCTGATAAACATGCCATCATTATTTGCTAATGCCATCATCATTATTAGTTTTTGCTAGCTGTCGCTATATTAAAGTGACACACTCTCGCTTTCAGGATGTATCCGTGCTGGCATTTTCAGTTACGCCACCCACATGAATCCCATTTCCAAAACCTCTCATTTTCTAGCTAATTCCAAGGCATCCAATAGCATTCACTTTTCACTTGAGCATCAGATTGGTGGAGAAACTCTTTTTATTTTCTAGCTAGCTCGCTAAAAATCAGATTGCAGTGAAGAGTAGCTAGGAAATCATACTGTAAACATCCAGAATTACGGCACAATTAGAAACAATGAATGGAGTACAAGTTCTAAATCAACCTCCTATTCTGCTTCTGCGTCAGACTGGCAATCGAACCTAACAATGGGGATGCTTCTCCAACGTCAGAAAGGGCCTGCTGAAAACATCTCCCGAGGATGTTTATTTTGTGAGATTGCCATGCTCAAGGGACATTAAATTATAGGCACGCTAGTAGTGACGCTAAAGACTATTTATTTAAATGGCTGTATATAAAGTTTGTTCTTTGTTTGGTACAGTTGTCAGAGTCTGTTGTGAAGTTTATATTTTTGCTATTTTAATAGTCACTGATAACCATTTCACTTTTTTATTTGCAGCAAAATGAGTATAATTTAGTATAATTAAACTTTCCTGGCCCTAATTGCTTCATGTTGTTAATGAGAATCGCTTGTAAGCACTAAAGTTCTTCTGGATAATATGTTGTCTTGATCCTCTACAATGTGTAAACACTCATTTATGTATTATCAAATAATTTATTGTTATTCAAATGATTTTATTATTTTGGGAGATAGTGGATGATGTGTATTTTTTGTAAAATATTGTTTTCAATACAACACAATAAGAATTATTAATGTATTGCTTTCTTTTATTTGTATTCAACCAGTCAAAGACCATTTTATCAGGATAAACTAGCTTGACAAATGGATTGCATGAAACATATTGTAGATTAAACTTACATAATGTGTTAAAACCATATTATTTGTAATAAATTTTAATTAATATATGCATTATCATTGATTTTCATAGAACTGAATAATGGTAAGCTAATATAAAATTAGTGTAAAACTGTGTTCCTGAAATGGGCTAAATGCTTACTTGGTGACAAATGACAAAGTTGCTTGGGTGTGATAAGAGGGAGGGAGCCAGGTGGATAATTGGCCCCCAGGAGGGATAGAGTTCACCAGCTGTGTTCATTCTGAAGATACCTGCTTGCATGAAAAAAACTGTCCTTGTAAACATGCAGTGCACCTTCTGTATCACCTAAATGTCCATGAAAATGTTCTTACCTGCAGTCACTATTTGTGTTTTCTGGTGTTTTGGAAAATATTTTAATAGACATAGATAGATCTTCCATCTTCCAACTGCTTATTCAATACAGGGGAATCTTTAACCTAACCCAGGTGGGATAAGGTACAAGATGGCAGGACACCCTGGACAGGGTGCCAGTCCATCACAGCACACACTCAATTGGAGT